AAAAATCCCTGTACTCCCCCTCAGGGATGGTCTGGTCAAAAATCACAATTTTTTCGATAACTCAGCCATTTCTTGACGGATCCTGCTCATCTTCGAACTCGACCGAGACATTGTTAAGACTAAACTGTATAGAAAATTTCATCGCGATCGGACTCTCCTTTCAAAAGTTATCGTGTTAACGGCCGGACGGACGGACGGACGGCCGGACACACTGACCGATTTTAGTAGTGTACTCACTTTTTGAGTACACAAAAACAACAAGTAAACAGTGATTCATAGCCTATTTTACATTAGTGAAATAATAGTAAAAAATTTTTGACGATTTATTTTACCAACGTCACCGTAGTTATGACTCAATGTTTATTACTTTCATTTCATTCAATAGTTTTTCATGTTCAAGTACTCTATATATCATACTTAAGAATACATTATAATCATGTCCTATCACTACCGAATGTCAATAGAGAAGCTTGAAAAACTTTAAAAATCAAAGTTTTCAGAAAAAAAAGCGTTATTTTCTTATGCGCGGGAGTTCACACAAAACGTGTGTAATGCCGTTAAATCTCATCATAAAATCAATAAACTAAAAATACATTTGAGAGTAGGCAATTGGCTCGATCTAACAAGTTTTAAATCACAAAATCGAAAAATTGTTTTTTTTCTAAGTGGCGAATGCTGTAAAGACTAAAATACTCGAAATCTATGTAAATCATATGATAAAAAAATTAAAAAAAAAATTTTTACAACAAACTTACCATCATGAGAGTAGAAATGTACAAAAGAACAATAAGAATAAGTTTTCACATGAAAAATTTTTTTCTTATCAAACAATTTAATAATATCATCTTCTGAATATTGTTGATCATATTCGACTAATAATGTTTCTGGATGATACAATTGAATACAATTAATTATTAATCCATTACACTCAGGATGATTTCGAACATTTGATGAAATCTTAGAAAACTCTTCAAAAACAAAAGAAAAAAACTTTCTTTTTTTCAAATAAATTTTTTTTTTCTTTGCTTCTTTTACCAATATCTTCATTATATTCAACAATAATCGTTTGTTTATCATTTTGATAATATTCAAAAGTATTTTTCGTATAAGGCATTGAAACAGTATCAATATATGATATAATATGATTTATTTCAATAGGTATATTTGAAAAACATATATGACGCTTATCAACTATTCGTTGTAGAAGTCGTGATGTAAATGTAAATGATTGAAATGTTATTGGCCCATGAAGAGCAACTCGATCAGAAACTAAGATATATGAAAAAATAATTTTATTTGATCAAATGATAATTTTCTTCTTACTGGCTGAATTTTTATAGAATACTTGTGCAATACCTAAATGTTGATAGATTTTATGGGTTTGTATTGGACCTCCATCTGATTTGATTTGATTGCTAAAAACTACTTCGATAAAATGAGTTTGAATATTTTTTTGTGGTTTCCAACATATTTGAAGACCTTTCTCAGCTAAAATAAATAAATCAAATTTATCTTAATTGTTATAAAACGTGAATATGTATTTAATGAAAACATCCTTGTTTACGAGTATTGAAAAAAAAATGACTTCTTGTAAAAATGTTGTACTCAGGATAAGCCAATAGAAAGGAAGCTTAGACTTGCCTTTCACGGGGAGACTACCACAAATGATACCCATGATTTAAATTTACATGGAGTTAAGCATGAGGGCTGTATGAGACTATCAAAAAGCCTAAAATGGTTTGTCCCTATGCACCTTTGACACCGGTGAGAACTATTCGTTAGGATATTGAATTTTGAGAAACAAACCTTTTGTGACAAAAACAGGGGCGTAGCCGGGGAGGGGGGGATACGGGTGAGAAATCTTTCCGAGAAACGAAAATTTATTTTGCTGCTGGTGTGCACCCTCCATAATGAGTCGGGCACCTCCCTTAGAAAAATCCTAGCTACGCCAGTGGACAAAAATTGAGTTCACTTGAAAAATCAGTAACTCGACGAACAAATATTCTTCGCGGCTAAAAATTTCAGAATATTCTAATTCAATATACGCATTTATAAGAAAGTTTTGAATAGAAACTCCGTTATTTGGTTTTTCGTACAGTACTAGAAATCCAGTAAACTGATTATAATTCGGCGCGAAAGACCCATGAGAACGAACTCTTAGAATATTTTACTAATCTCACTAAGACCTCCATCTGGGCGTGGTGTGCTGGGAAAATATCGAAAAAAATGATGTCTCCAGTAAATGGTGAATCTAATTACGTATAGTTCATTGTTGCTTTTCTTATAATTCTACTAGTGTAGAGTTTTAACTAGTAGTAATGGCGATGACTAATACCTGATAAAAATTAAATAAAAGAGTTGAGCGAAGAACTATTATAGAGCTAAAATTCTATTGTCATGGCTGAAGCTGCTGCATCTTCAGCTATTTCATTTATAAATTCACAGAAAGAAAAACCTTTGCTCTTAGCAGATGAATATGCTTTCAAAGTCGTTTTAATCGTCGAGTACAAGTTAATCATCCAAATATTTGGTCATTCATTAAATTTCTACAAGGAGAAGAGAATCGTTTTCATTATATGTGTGTTCAATTTACTACAGGTTTGGGGGCTAGACCAAAACAAGCTAAAACAATTGCTATTCAACGTTGTATAGATAATCTTGGTGAACGATATTATGATGGTGCTATAACTGCTATGGAATACTTAGACAGTTTGTCATTTACAGTTGCTAAGCAAAAAAAATGATACATAATCGATTTTTTTTCATTATCTACAGTCAAGGACAAAAGTTTAAGCGATCTGCATTTGTCCTTTCTCTTGTTCTGCGTCTATCTCAGTCCAAGTAAGTCGAACCCCTTTTGTTCACCCACCATCTTGTGCAGTTTTCGACGCTTTTTCTAACGGTGGGTGAATTAGGGAGATTT